CAACACATATTTTATTTGAGAGTTATAAAAATATTATGAGCTTATGATCATGATAAATATTTTAAAAAAAATTTAAAATTGTAAATATATAAAATGAATATAACTGTATAAACAAATGAATAAAAATATAGAAACCGGCATAAAAAAATCAAGAGAAAAGATTAAATGATTTGAATATCAAACGATTGTTAAGAGGTTGGAGATCTAAAGAGGAAGAAGATATATTATTTTACTAAAATATAGTGAGCTTTATGGAAGTATAAAAGAAAAATTTGAAAGTGTTATAATACCATTATTTTAAATACATAAGAGGTATATATTTCTACACATAAAAATTAAAACAATTAATAGTAACTTTATTCATAAATTTTTCAACAAAACACACAGAGAATGATATATGAACTCTATAGCATCACATGTAAAATGTAATTTTACACCATATATTTGATAAATCATATACATCTGAATCAAATATTTTTAACCAAAAAAAAAAAATTTAGGAAACAAAACTATTTGACAGTTTAAGAAATGACAAAGATTATGCCCATATCGTTTTAAACATTGTGAAAGTTACTGATCAAAAACTATAATAAATATATATATAAAGTTTATAAAAATAACGAAAACATAAAAGTACATAACTAAATCACAATTTTGTCGTTAAATTTAATAAAATTGTAAAATAAAAAATCGCACATAGTGCGAGTCAATTCTAGTTTTATAAAACTACAGAGTCCATACATTGTATTGTGTAGTGGTACAATACAAATGCGGTCATGAAGTGATACGGAACACAAGGTAGAAATGGCACGATCTTAAAGAGAAATACAAAATCCATCGAGAATAAATCTCTAATACATCGACTAATAAATATTAATTGGTTATTTTTATCCTTGTTGTGTATTTTAAATTGTAATTGATCTGAAAATCTAAAGAAAATAGTTTAGTTTCTCAAATCATTCTCTAAATTACACATCAATTTGTTAATTATAAAGTTTTTTTTTAAATCTTCTGCCATAATACTTATCAGTTTTAAGATAAAAGTTGTTTTATAGAAATATAGATTCAGAATGAAGATGCAATTGTTTTTTTGCAGTTACGTAGAAACGAAACGTTTAGAAATGTGAAAATGATTTTCCTGAAAAATCATGAAGTAGTCACATATTGTAAATATGTATATGTAAATGCGAGAGCACTTGTAGGATAGAGAGTAACTCAGAATTTGACACAGGGAATTCCTCTACAAAGGATATTATTATAAAATCATTAGAGGCATTTACAAGTTTCATCTAAACGGTTTCCACAAGCTCAAGACACTCCTTGATTTGTAATCATGATTTCTAATCTCACACGTTCAATGGATCTAATACATGATCGAAGAACCTCTCAAAAATTCTTTAGCCCTTAATCAAGATCTCTTACAAGACAACCCTTATGCTAAGAACTCTCTATTTTGTGGCAGCAGATACAATGCCAGCATGTATCTATATATAATCATAGATCAAACGATTTCATCCTAACAACTACTCAATTAGAGATAATGACAATTCTCTCTTTTTGTAGTTATCCAATCCTTGATTTTCTCCAAGAGATCTTTAGTGATGTGAATCGCCTACAAGCTGATCCTCCACACATCTAGCATCTTTTGAGCCGTCAAGCTCAGCTTCCGTCTTCGTTGGTCCAACTCAACCATCTAGTTCCATGCCAGTTGCTCCACAATGGTCTCTTGAGGTACTTTGTGAGTGACACATAATGTCCCTCAGAGTAGATATCATCATTCTAAAAATCAAACAAAGTGCACTTTCAGTATATACTAAAAATATTAAAACTATATATCTTTTTGTGTCGAATTTCAAATTTTCTAGATGATGGATCTTAGATCTCATGCATTAGACTTTGGATGCTTTTAAGGAATATGCTTGAAAGCATCAAATAAAAGTTTCGTCTTTTGGAAGATGGGAATCGTCATGAATACTTACAAGGACGACATGCTAGGTCGTCCGGATGTATTGCTATACCTACGCATATGATATGGTCAATAAGGTATTTGAAAACAAGAATGAGTTTTCCTCCCAAATACTTCCCGACGCTTAACTCGGATATCCAAACGAAAGCAAGTTTAATCATAAAGTAAATATGGATATAGTTTGGTATCTTGTTTGGGGATCATAGGCACCATCAATTTTTTGAGGAAGAGAGAATTAAAACGAAACAAAAATTCATGAAAAAATGGGGCTGGTGCTCTCTCCCGAGAAATGACAAGTTTAGATCCCTTATTCTTTTATAGCGTATACCATGGACATCTTCTAGTATTTGGCTTATCTCTCGACTCGCCAAAAACCCTTTGAAACTTTATTGTCAAAAATTCATTATTAGGTATTTATAGAAGACAACTTCCTTACATTGCATTCAATTTGGTTGATCTCTACTGTTAGCTCACATCGTTTGCGTCATTTTATACGATGGTTGATATTGTTCAAACATGTAAGATTAAGGCCGAATTAACCTATTAGCCCCGAACATGTTGAATACCACATATTTCCTAGGAACAAGTATCTTTGTCTACTACAAATAGGCCCGGTTAAACTTCATGTAACGCCCCGTGCTGCAAAAAAAAGGCCTTAATATAACAAATTTGACAAAATAGGTCTTAATTTATTATATTTAAAAAAAACGATTGGAAGGTCCAATATTCAAAACACATTATTATAAATGACC